CATATTGAGTCGGCAAAAGAATATTAAATTTATCAAGGAACGCTAAAAGTTGGGATTTAACAACAGATTCAATAATTTTGCTTAGAATTGGCAATAAGGAAATGGGTCTGTAGTTGCTTATTTCTAAAGGTGAACCTTTATAACATACATGGCTTTATTGACTCTTGTTTATGCAGTTAACATTATAACCATTTTCAGTATAACAAAGTTTTGACGTACAAGGTAGATTGATGCATGGACATTTTTTTACTGCTTAAACAGTTCCACAATTTGGCATGCTTTAAAAGACAAATATTACCTGGTTTATGAGATTAAAGATCAAGATCCAGATTGATCATCCTATTACTGAAAATTGCATGTCAGAATATGCCATATCATGTTGGGATCTAGTGGTGCTGTTTTGTACTTAAAGCGGGGAAGTCGTCACCTGCGCATGCGTCAGATGGCCATAGTGTGTCATTGTTTACAAACAAGACTTACCTATAGGCCTTTGTGATTTTAGCGTGTGTGGTTATCGTCGCTTGGGAATCAATTCCCGTGCATGCGCAGGTGACAACCCTCTCGCTTTAAATTTCCCAGAACAACGTGCTTGGTTTACTTCTGCCTCTTTTGGTAATACACTTCTAATTGGGCAAATATAAAATTTTCTGAGATTGACTGTCACTATGGAAATCGTTTCACCAAGGATGTATCCTTCTCTCACAACACCTTAATGTTAAGAACAATGTACCCTGTACTGGAGTATACATTTGTAATTTGGTTTCCCTAACATGTGAACTCAATGAATGAAGGCATCAACATGGTTGTTAATTGCGTAACTAAGAAATGAAGGCCATGCATGAAATTACATACAGTGTATTACAGTGGGAATTAATTTGCACATAAAATGTGACGTACTGTGTATTGTTACCAGACATGGCAGTTTCTTACTTGTGGATTATGTCAACTACAGGAAGCCAAGTTACCGGTAGCTGATTGTAATCTGTACCAGACATCTCAATTTTCGGTAGTTTGATTTTGTTACCATGGTGATTAACATACATTGTCTTCTTGTTTTTCACCCTCTCATCATCATCATAAGAATTCACTTAGCTCTACTTCAACCTAGACAAATAGTGACACTTTTAATAGTTGAACAGTCTAAAAGAAATGTATTTCAATACTGTGAAATAAAGTTCATGGTTACGTTCAGATAAAGCATATCGTGTGAAACCTCTGATAAAACACAGCCATTATTACAATTGTTTTTTCGTATCTCTTAATAAACGTAATATAATCTGATCGTTTTTACAAATATGTACGTGATAGCATTCAAGTCTGTATATGATTGCATATACACATAATAGATTGGTGTGTGCAGAATTCCACCACAACATTGTACCGTGGTTACACATACTAGTTTGCTGGATGCATGCAGAATTACGCCACAACATTGTACCGTGGTTACACATACTAGTTTGCTGGATGCATGCAGAATTACGCCACAACATTGTACCGTGGTTACACATACTAGTTTGCTGGATGCATGCAGAATTCTTTCATGAATCACTACTCACTATAAACCTTAAAATAAAAGTACACTGAGGTGTATTCCATCTTTGGCCTCAATTTTTTTATTTTATAATGATATCTTCAATTCTCTAATTTTGGTGAATATTTTTGTCATTTTTGGTAAAATGTGATATTTTCGACTTCTTGTTAAAAACCGCAACTCTGATTGCTTTTATATTACATATATAGGTACTTTATGTGGACCTCTTTCAGATTTGTTAATTTCGTGGTGATATCTTCAATTATCCAATTTTTATGATTATTTTTGGTGAAAAGTGATATTTTTAAATTCTTGTTGAAAACAGCAAGTCCCATTGCATTGATACTATGCATATTGTTCATTATCTAATGATATCTTCTGTTCTTTAATTGCAATGTGCATTACAAACAGCGGAGCTATCTCAGCTGACAGGCTGCTTGTTTGAAAATGAACTGTCTTTATTTCAGGCCTTGTATGTGGAATGTGTGGTTAATGTCTGTCCAATAAATATATATCTACATTCGCAGGCATTTGATGTTGCACTGTGACCTTATATGTGACATTATGTGTGGTTAGCATGCCCATCTTAGCATCAATAAATATATATATTTGCAGCCATTTGGTAATGGTCTTGTGACAATAGTTGTACCTCAGCTAAGAAGAGGAGAGAACAGTTTACTGCTATGGAATACAGACAATTTATCTGTTCCAATGCATACATTTATTGGCCATTCCGATGTGGTATTGGAATTCCAGTGGAGGAAATTTAATGAAGGTAAATTTTTATGATGTGAGCTGAATTAATTAACAGATTGTTGATTAATGTGTAAATAACTGCATTATCTAATTAATTAAGGTTGATGAATTACTATATTGTTAATTCTACTTAGAGGGTCATATTCGTTATCATTTGGGTTTTTCATTCGATGTAAATGAACGTATTACTGTAAACCACGGTTACTAGTGACCATGCGTAAACTCAATAATTATTCACTGGTTCCAAATACGTGAACATGTAAAATAACAATAGAACCCTGTGAAGTTTGTTAACTTAAAACCTAGTAAAATTACTCCAGTCATCAAAGTAGTGAAATTAAAATGCCAATGAAAATAATGTTTTTAATTTGAAATCTGTCTGGTATCATTACATTTATTTTATGACTGAATTCATGCAACATTTTTTACTCTCTTTTTTTTTAAAAAACGATAGCATTCAGTATGGATTATAGAGTCACATGACTATGTCAGGAAGGTGTTGTGATACAAGCATATGGGGTTAGCTATAGTTTGATGTGTGAATAGGATTGTTCATTTCATAAATTAAATCCTACTGCATACCTTACAATGAAGTCTATGTGATCATAGGCCATATTCTCAGATACAATGTGTCTGAATGGATTCATTGTTTATTAGCGTATCAACAGCTTTGCTATTGTTCATAATACACGTAATGTAGTTACCGGCTTGCATGTAAATCTTAGCAACTATCGAAAAGGTGTAGCAGATCAGTTCTAAATATTTATTTATTTTTACACCATTTGGGCTCAGAAATTGTTTACAAAATTATATTGTAGATCTTATGTGTACCTGTTTATCAGGGTCCTGTATTCTTTTAACCATGTTTTCTACTAAAAAGGATGTATTTAATTCAATTTTTCAATATTAGATCTGTGTTTGAAAATACTGCAATGTGTCATGCTTTTTTAAATCATGTGAAAATATATATTGTGCAACTATTGAATCCTATGGGAAAATATATTGCACCATTATTAATCTTTAATCCTATGTGAAAATATATATTGTGCAACTATTGAATCCTATGGGAAAATATATTGTGCAACTATTGAATCCTATGGGAAAA